AAGGAGCACTTATCCTTAATAACAATCGAATTTTCACAAGGCTCTCGAAACCACTAAAGTATAAATGGTAGTTTTACAATTGAAAGAACTCTCTTATCAAATGATATAATCAAGTCAAGTATTTAGATAGTTAGGATCACACTTCAATAAATAGCAAATAATAAAGTTCAAGTGTTTGTATTGTAAACTTTGATGAATAATGAAATAGTTTGTATCTTTGTATCAAATTTTTCAAAATATGACCTCTCTTAACAAATAACACAAGTTAAGTATGAAGAGAAATTTACACTTAAATATAAGTGTTGGCCAGGAAAACTTCTATAAAAAAAAATGAAGAATAGATAAGATTGTGAAAACTTCTTTGCAAAATAGAATTCTTGATAAGATGAATGAAATATGTTGAATCAATCAAGAAATTCTTTTGTAATAAATGAAATAGAATTTAAACTCAAGTAATCTCAATGATTTTCAATGACTAAACTCTCTAAAATCTCTTGTAAGTGGTTGAAAAAAGAATGCAGAAGGGATTGGTATTTATAGAGCAAAAAGAGACAATCTCGATTAAGTTCGGTTGACCGAAATTTTCGATTTGACCGATTTTTTGAATATAGCCGTTGCAAGATTCTAACCGTTGAACTTTCGGTTGACCCTTTTTTTTTTAAAATTGCTTTTACAAAATCTATTTCATATTATGATTTAAAAGCATTTTTATACAAGTGATGAGTTATGAAAATAATTTGAGTTTTATACATCTGCTAAAAATCGAAGAGTTAATACATTTACATTTGAATTCCGATAAACTACTTCTAAGCTTTAATCTTCAAAGTTCTTGTTCTTGTTCTATTCGAGTCTCATTTGATTGCTTGTTTTTCAATGGAAATACATTTACATTTAAATTCTGATAAACTACTTCTAAATTTTAATCTTCAAAGTTCTTGTTCTTGTTCTCTTCGAGTTTCATTTGATTGCTTATTCTTCAACGGATGACTATTTGACTTTTTGAATGCTTAAGAAGATATATTCATGAAAAACTCAAGAAACAAAACTTGTTAGAAATATAAGTGTATTGTTTATTATAAGCAAAACAAGTGGAGCTATATTAAATCATATGTCAACATAGCGAACACATGAAGTTGAGCTAGCGAAATTCTGGCGCTGTTTTTCTCCTCTTTTCATTTTCGAACTCTAGAACCTATACAACTCGATTTATACAAATTGCAACTTACTCATTGACTTTTACATCATATTAATTTAAGTCATTTTTGTTCACAGACTTGCCAATTACAATAGAACCCTACAAAAGGCTTCACCTTTGAGATGATATCGATACTTGGACTCATGATTTGAAGAGAAACGTTGAAAGTACCATCTCCATTATGAAAAACTTGCACATTCTTCTTGTCAATGCTGGTTGCCTTCTTGTCAAGACCATAAGCAATGACTCGTGTCAATGTGCTGTTTCGCCAAAATATTCAGATGCTTTTCCATGATCGACAATTGTGCTATGCTGATTTATTTCTTTCTCGAAATTACCCTCTACTAACAAATTAGGTGAAATTTGTAACTAAATACTTCGCCAAGAGTAAGTTTTCTAGGCGTGCGGTAATTTATCGTATTTTTCTTTCCCACTCATTTAAATTATATTTTGCAATATATAACAGAACTCAATAATTTTCAATTCTCCCCACTATGTTTTTTTTTTCCGTGAATTCCCATGAGTGAATAACCATATGTATGAGATCAAGTTGAATTTTTCTTCCTTAATATTATAAAAATCTGTCCAATCAACTCCACAATCACGATAAAAGTTTCCATGCACCCATATATTTCACTCACGAACTTCATATATGAAATTTTCTTTTAACTAAAACACTATTTTTCAGAGGAAAGATGGGGAAGGGTGGTCAATATAGAAAACCCACATGTTTAGATTTAAGAAGGAAAAAACTAGTTGACAGAGGCACATTTTTTTCTGATTTGCCCTGCCTGTCCCGTTAACACGCCAATATTCCCAAGCTTCACCATTGATGCAGCAAAATCCCTTGAAAACAGAAACGGGTCTGCGCTGTAATCCTTAACCATGGCTGCAGTTTTTTGGTCCCCAATCAAAGCTTGATCAGATTCAAGAAGGCCTCCATTGTTGACGATGTTCTTGTAATACATATTGTCAAATCTGTACACAGATTGAGAGTCCAGTGGAGCAGTTTTGTTGTTTGATCCATCAACGTTTGGACAGAAGTTTTGTAAGTTTGAGAGTAACGAAGAATCAAGTGTTGGGTCTGGGTTGCCGGTGCCTTTGAAGTTGAAGAGTCTTCTCTTGAATGTGAAACACTGAGCAAAACCTATAGTATGTCCTCCTACAACATCAAGACAAGAAATTAACTTTTATTAGTTAGAACATGTTAATTTGGGGACGAAATTGAATATCAAAAATAATTTTTTTTTTTTTTTTTTCATTTTCGAGCCTATTTCGATCCGTCGTACAAAAACAAGGACATGCAAGAAGTTAACTTTTATATGTCTTTAAACCATAGGCATGCTAGCTCATGACTCGGCGTAGAGCCATGTCTGAATAATTTGACCAATTTTGACACCCTTTCCCCTATATGTGGGAGTCATTCAATTCTTGAAATAACATAAAAGGTATTCAATTTCAAATCGGGCCAACCATAGCCCTGTCTAGTATTAGGGTTTCGGTGGGGAGGGCTTGGCCACCCCATACGTCGAAGTGATTATCATACTCTTCAATTCAGTCAATAAAATGGATGAATTTAACAAGGTGATGTACTAAGCTTCAATCGGATAGAGATAAGATTTCTGAATTTTCTTGTGTGGTCGAACGTACAAACAGGACTTGTGCCTTCAATCACTAATATATTCACATTCATAAAATCAACTTTTTTTTTCTTGACAATACTAGTAAAGAAAACAAATGATTAAGTACCTGAAAGGACAACCACGTCCTTGACATCAAGACCATTAGATACAAATTTGGCAGTTATATTTTCCAGTGGCTCAAAAGGTGATGGCAACTGCTCATTTGCTGCTTTCTCACTTGCAGTTACTCCATCTCTTCTACCCAATGAAATAGGCCAATTTGGTCCACCAGACTATGCAAAATTGAGACACAAAACACAAATTAATACAAATTCCAAGTTCATTTTTTCCTTTTCCTAATTGATTATATTCCATTTTGTTTAATTTGATTTAATTATACTTTTCGTAGATTCTAAACGTAGTGATAACTAAGAAGAATTTATATGACACACTTTATATCGAAGTTCAATTTATTCAAGAATTTTACTTACCATAACAACCGCCTCTCTTGCAGCAAGAACCAATATGTCAACACACGATACAATGTTCGGGCAAGCTTTTTCTAAATCTGCTTTTATGCTCTCAATAACTTCAAATCCTCGAGCTGAATTGCGATTAGGTGAAGCATTCTTCTCCCCTTTGAAATCTTTAGTGTCATCAAGAAGTATAGAAGCATCACATCCCTACACAAAAGTTCAAGAATGAACAACTCTATAAATAAAAATAAACTAAAATTTAGTTTGCTATCGTGTGCATAATTGCGAACCCATTCTTTCTATTCATGAATAACGTCAAATAATGACTAAATAGACACACCTTTTTTAAGAGTAACTCGACTTCTAGTCACTAGCTTTGGGGTACTTAATATCTTGAACTAGAAAGGATGAGACGAAATAACATAAAAATTTGGTCATGTGTCTCTAGATTAGGTCTGTTATACGATCTACATAAGGATGTCAAAAAGGATCGGTCTATGAATTGGAGAAGAAATCATATGACGTAAAAATCTTACTGAAGATTAAAAAAATTTGCTCGTTGCCTCGGTCCACTCACAAGTTTTACCTAGGGGCGAGACGGGGCCACCAAAATAGTGAAAACCTGTTCTCAGGCCGACCCGCCTCAATGCCTGGCCGGGGCGGGCCCAAGTCCGTGTATGGTCAAGCTTGGAACGGGTTTACCTAGGCCTTTGACACTTCTAGTTTAAACAGTTGCTAACTCAAATGAAAGCCTAAGAAAAAAGATATAGAAACATGAAAAAGCTGATAAAAGCAGGAGAAATTAAAATAATTAATTACATTTACAAAACAATCATGAAAGTGCAAACGAAGGAGGGATGCTGCAATTCTGGCGTCATTTTTGTATGCAGCCCAAAAACCCGACCTCACTATCATGTTCAAATTAGGGCAAGATTTATCATAAAAACTGTAACTCAACATTCCATTATCAGCCGGTTTATCAGGGTAACTGTAATCGGGTCTGGCATTAATGGCTGAAGATAAGCAGATTGTGCAAAAAAGTGCAGAAAGGCAAAAGAACTTATGATCCATTTTCTGAAAGGAAAGCAAATTTGTGATGATTTTTGGTGGGGGGAATGGCTGCAATTTATATGCAAGAAGAAGGGAATATTGAGGAGATTTCATTGGTGGGTTCTATGAGTGGCATTTCCACTATGTTCTTGATAAACTAACTTTTGGCCATGGCTGCTGTAATTTATAAACTGGTTCATGCATAAATTTATAATTAAAAACAGGATAACTAATCCATGATATCATCCACTGGGGATTTCTTAATTTTCGTGTAGTTTAAGGAATTCTTGCCCGTTTCATCTTAGAATCATGATAGTTTCGTAGGAAATATGGAGACGAACATTTGGAGTTTTCCTCTGTAAATTGTCATATATCGGAACTGACCTAAACACACGAATACTTCTACCGCATAAGGATTTTGCTGTTTGTATAGAAGAAATCCGTCAGAAGGAGTGATCGAAATGATGTGGAGGAAAAATTTTGGATTAAAAAGCTAACTGTGTTTTAAACTAACAAATGAATATCATGTAAGATTATGTAAATCTTGATATACATATAGCAAGATCAACTGCCTAATTTCTATCTTATATCAGTTCCATTTTCCAACACTTTCCATATTAAATGATTTTTTTACTTAGTTTTTCATATCCAAATATAATTTTGGGTAACAAATATACTACGAACATCTTCTCGTGAAGGAAAATATGTTCAATCTCTGAACCTTGAAATCGATTAATGAGTTCCACTCAAAGTCCACTTGCAACTTTATCAAGTCATTTTTTCAAACTTTTTAGCTAGTGAACAAAATGCTCTAATATTTTTTGAAGGAGAGGATAATATATACTTCAACACGTGCTAAAACAATTCCAAGAAAATGAACAAGATTTACACTACAGCACCATGCAATGAATCTTTTTGCAAGTCAACGTTCTAAAGTAACTAATCTACTCATCCCACAATTTTAATTATCTTAAACAAGTGGAAATACGTGTGTGTCCAAAGCTCATTAGATATTTTATATGGCACATTGGACACTTCAAGTTTATTAAGCACTAATGACACTCTCAAGTGCTCAATAAAGGGATTAGATTAAGTAATTAATCAAAAAAGTTTGACTTTGAGCCACCAACTGAAACCCTAATTCATATGTTTAAAATTTGTTGATGTGTGTCATGTTGGCAACTTTTTTATAAAGAAAAGTAGAAGTATAATAGAAAATGGCCAATGTAAGTGTGAAACCTGCGAATTTGCATTATTAGCACGACGTTTTAATCAACTGAGCTTATAAGTCATACTGCAATAAGGTCCTTTTCGTGCTACAATCCATATGAAATGTAGCTAAATAGCGACGGAAAATTTTTTACACGGTACTATGAATTTTCAACAAAAAATAATAACAACATTATGATGTGTGAGATACGGTAAATGAAAAGAAAAACTGATTGGTATTACAAAATTGTTTGTTATGTAAAACATAAGGGTTCTTGCAAATTTATTTAGCACGCATAAGGTCTCGACTAAATATTCACCATAGAATATATGAATTATTCTGCTAAATAATTTGACGTCTAGGATTGGTTCGTTCATTATAGTGTCATATGTCTCACTTCATTATTTGAATGTCGAAAAAATTTTCTTTTTTTAAATTTGTGGTCTATTTTGAACATAAAACAATGGTTGATGATTCAAATGCCAAAAGAAAAGTCAAAGACTTAATATATCAAAGCTATATATTATATGATCAGTGTAGTGATTATTGTGATGTATAAAATCGACCATTCTAGACAAGAAGATAGCATCACTTGGAACGAAAATTAACTCAATCCAATTCTTCACCAAACAATTTATATTGTCAACTAAGATGCTGTTTGTTTTAACTAAAAATCATATTTGTATTAGATTTTGAAAAAAAGTTGAGAAAATATGTTATTAAAAAGTTGTGAATCCTATGAAATGCGTGATTGAAAATGAGTTAAAAAAAAGAACCAAAACATAGGCTAAATAGTCTATATCATTATGTTTTGTCTATTAAGATACATAATTGAACAAGGGTAAAATTTAGGGAAAATTGCAGCAGCGGTCCCGAAACTTTTCGATTTTTGCAGACTTTACCTTAACCTTTGTTTTGTGCCAGTGGAGCTCTCAAACCTTTCAAAAATATGCACCGAAAGTCCAAATGGATGAGTTTCCATCCAATTGATCGTTAGTTGATTGGAATAGTAAAATTTGACCAAATTTTATAAGGGCAAAATGGTAACTATACAAATTTTTATACAAAAAAATTAAAAAAAAAAAAAGAAAAAAAAGAAATCTGCCCCCACCCCACCATCTTCATCTTCTTCACCCCCACGCCAATCTGCCACCACCGTCACCTCCCCAGGGTTGGTAGCTACCGCCGATCATTACCTTCATCTTCTCCACCACAATTCTTCTTCCCCAACAGCAACCACACTCTTTCCACCCTCAATTTCAGTTAAAAATAAATAGTCAAACACACATCAGTGGTACCAGGAAGAGTATCATGTTTTTCTGCAGTAAATTGAAATGAAACTGCCGGATCTATCTTTAGTGGTGGATTTGAAAACATACGCAGTAAACATAAATGCATATGAACTTTATCGGTCCATATGAGATTCTTGAAAAAATTGGGAATGTGGCATATCGTTAGCATTGTCACCCGAACTATCAGCAGTGCACAACATTTTTCACGTTTCTATGTTGAGAAAGTACATTCCGGATCATAGTCATGTAGTGAATGTTCGATTATTGAATGTCCAGAGTGATGTGACGTACGAAGAAGCTCCTGCAGTTATTCTGGAGAGAAAGGACCATGTTCTGAGAAATCGAAAGGTTCCATTAGTCGAAGTCCAGTGAGATAAATATGGTAAGGATGAAAATACTCGGGAAAGAGAAGAAGACATTTTTGCCAAGTATCCCGATATCCTTAAACGAGTAAGTTAAATTTTGAGGACAAAATTATTTTAAGTGGAGAGAGTTGTGGAGACAAAAAAAAATCTTATGTTTCGTTTTAAAAGAAAATTTCTTGTAAAATTCGAAAATAAATTGAGTTTTATTATTAAGTTGCTATGACCCTCCCTAAGAGCTCCAATTAAAGTTTTGGTCACGATAGTAAAATTTCGCGCACTTGTTTCTAAAATTTTTGTAAGATATCGAATTTCTAGTAAACGACAAAGTTTTATTTTGACGACACATGTTATTGTAATTGTGACGACACATGTCATTGTAATTGTTGCATACATGTTTAGTGCTAAAATTTTAAGAATTAGATAAATCGGATATAGTGCACCAAACAACCTCATATTCTTCTCATCATAATTAGTTTTTTTCTCACTCACAGTTTTCCTCCACTAATGTATTCCCATTTATTTATTTATTTTTTATTTCCTAAGCTGACTTTTCATTTTTCTCCACTAAGCATACCATTTGAATCACTACTAAATTGCATAACCTTCAAATCACTTAATGCCATTATGTTAATTATAAACAAAACAGACATTCATATGAAAATGGTGCCTACACGTTTATAAACCATAACCCATCATTTATACACCTAATTAATATTCCACTACCATTATTTTAAATCCCACATTGGTTACTATCAATTACCGTCATCATTTTTTTTTGCATTTGAAAAACCATAGTCTCCTATAACCTCTAAGGCCACATTTACTTCCCCAAACTATTTTACCCACACATAAATTAATCTGCATTTCTTCCCAAAGGCCACATTTCCTTCCCCAAACTATTATACCAACACATAAATTATTCTGATTTTCTTCTCACAGACTAAGGCATTTTGAATCTAAAAGAAAAAAAATTCTAAAGAAGAAGTAAAGAGAACGCTGGATTTTATTGTCTATTGAACGCAAGAGGATATTCAAACTCCAAGTGTTTAAAGTATGGGTGTTTCGACACTTTTGTAAGTGAAGTAAAAATGATTTTCTTTTGATTTGCATTTAAAGTGTTATTGTGTTTTCTTTCTGCTGCTGCGCAACCAATAGTTGTTGAATTATCTCGAGATGTTTTTCAAAAATCAAATTTCACCATAATTGTCTAAGTCTATGTGGACACATATCTCCATAATAATAAGAAAATATAAAGTTTATCCAAAATTCTTATTAGTTACAATTTATTTTGGTTAACATTAGAGAGCCCCAATTAAAAAGATTTTTTGTGTAACGCTTCGAAGCATTTTTTTGAGGACGTTACATATTATACACAATGTAAATTAAATCTCAAGCAATCATCACAAGATCTGTTCGTCCCAACTGCATTTAGGCTCGGAGTTCACCAAATGGGTAATCTCAATTGGAGCTCCAGAATCAAGTATATTTGGCTCCAATACACTAGGAACCAACTTTAAAAGCTTGGTTACAACTTGATTAATCCAAACGTTTAGCCAAAAACACCCACTCAGTATAGTTTATGTAAGGCCAATAACGCACAATATTAAATCGAGAAACCAAGATATGAAAATCTTCCTAGAAGAGTAAAGTATAGAAAATAAATATAACACAATCGATTTATTTTCGGTCTAAGCCCCGGAGGTTCGACGACTGCTTCTAACACCTACATCTCCCATTGAGCATCAATTAGTTTGGATATATGCTCGGTTCCACTATATAGCCAAAAATGACAACAAAGGTTACAAGAATGTTCAGCCAAAACATTAAGTATAGAAGCTGAACACTTATATCTCAAATACATCTATAGATTCGCAAGATTCACACAAGAATCTCCTCAAAACCTCAACAACGGCAACATTAAAAAACAAACCCATCCACATAAATATTCACTCAAAATATCACTTTACAGAGGCTAACTATTACAGGTCAATATTCTCAAATCAGTAATTTGAGAAGAAAAAGATAGAGAAAAACAAAACCATAGAGTTTCCCTTTAAGCCGCGTAGCCAGAGAGGAGAATTAAAACCATCCAAATGAACAACCATATAGATAAAACCATCCAAAAGGTAATCCAATGGTGCAGATCATAACACA